GCTATAAGCTGGGATTTTTTAAAGAATATTTTTTAAAGGACCAAAACAAGGCGTGGATTTGTTAAATAATATTTTTTAAGGACCTACAGAAGGCGTGGATTTTTTAAAGAAATTTTTTTAAAGAACTATTCGAGCTATAAGCGTGGATTTTTTAAAAAATGTGAAACATGGAGTCGAAAATCAATATTTCGATGAGGCAGTGTATATAGCCTCATATATATATATATATATAATACAAATAAATAAAATATATTGCTAAACAGTTATGTAGAAAGCTATGTTTGTAAGTTGTAGCCTTAAAAATATTTTTCAAAATAAAATTTTTCCGATTCTTTAACAATGACAAATATTTAGCCATTATTATGATACCTTGGCTATGCCTATATAGTACCCTGGTAAAAAAGCACAGGATGTAGAAAGTAATTTTAAAGAAAAAAATATGTTGCTGACCCTCAAAAGATATAGTGCTGATGTAGATGTCTTGTCGGGTTCTATAAAACGCTGCTCATGATCAGGAATGCCCTCTTTTGGGCGGAATGAATTTAATTTATAACTTCATACTTACCTTCCCGCAATCAACCACCAAAATAATAAAAAAAAATATATTTCATAGTTCAATTTAGAAAAAGAAAAACAATTTATTATTTCGCTTCTTGTTTTTAATGCATCGTTGCATTTACTTTCAGTTATTTAAGACTTATACAAAATATATATTTCTTTATACAAAAAAATACACATAATAAAAAATACACTAGTGCCTAATTTCGAACTTACAAACAAAAAATATGTATACGAATTAATTTACAACAATACTAAACACTTTTACAAAAAGTGCAACACCTTTATAATGTTAATATTTTTTTTTTTATTACAGAAATATTATTAAAAGTACATACGCCATTTATAAAAAAATTTAAACATAAAAAATATCAATGGAAAACATGTATTTCTATAGAAAACTATTACAAAATAGAAAAAATAATAATAATTAAAATAAAAGATATTATTAGAATATACACAGTTATTTTGTTTTTATAAAATTAAAACTAAATCTTAACAACAAAAAAATTATAAAAATAAATTCTCTAATAACAATTTATATAATACAATTTATTTTATTATTATTTTTATAATTCATCGAAAACTTTAAACATATATCCAACATTTTATTCAGTTATAACTTATTTATATATAACGAAAATTGTTGACAGCTAAAATGTTGATGATTTTATTTATGGTCAGCTATGATTGATTACTTGGTAATGTGACAGAGTGTGTGGGGGGCAAGAAAGCGATAGTTTATTATAAATATCATAATTATTATTTTTTTTACATTTTTTGTACACTTAATTAATAGTTGTATGTTTTTAATTTTATAAATATTTTATTAAATTTTTAAATGAGGTGATATATTTATTTATTTTATATTTGTATTAAAAATTATGGAAGATTTTGTTTGTCTGTTTGTTTATTTATTTCTATGTGTATATAAGTTTGTATGTGGCAATAATGTTCTATAAAGCTAAACTTAAGACTTATTGGCAAAATAAATATTGTTTTAAATTTAATTTGTATATATATGTATAAAAATATGTATTTCTTTAAATGCTTAATATTTATGGCTATATTTCTTTTCGTTTTTTTTTATTAACACAATTATAATTTGAGTCATTATTTCTTTACAGATTTATTTTTTTCATAGTTTATTAAATTACATTGTTTTTTATTTGCATTTCTTTATTTATATGTTTTTTCGAGCTAAGAAGAGTCTTTATTGGCTTTTTAGTCTTGTGTGTGACTGTGTGAACAAATAACACAAGCTTACAAAATTTTTGGAACATTTTTAGGACATTTAATTTTCGAATTCTAGGGTAGTTCATTAAATTTTTATATCTTGTTTTTTGTATTTTTAATGTAACAATTTCTAATGGCTGTAGCATCTACAAGGAGTACTTACCTTATCCAACGATATACCAAGAACTCAGGCTGACATTGGATTCTTAAGACAGGTGAAAAGAAGCCAGAAGCGAAAATATAATTACACTTCAACATGGGATTTCTTTTCAAAAATATCTTAATGAAAATAAAATTGAATTTAATAATTTTTCATTAAGACCCAAAATATCTAATTACAGGCAATTCGGTTGAAAACGTGCCGCTAGACATTTATAACCCAAAAATACCAAATCACAGCTAATTCGGTTTAAAAACGTGTCCAACATTCTATATATGAGAACTACTCCGTTCATTATTTATAATTTTTAGTAAAGAAATTCGTTATACCTTGTGAACCTAAATTACCAAATTACAACAAATTGGGTTAAAAAAAGTAACCCAAAAAATATCTTAGGGGCTATATCAAAATGAGGGATCAAAATGTCACATTTGCTATACCAAACATCCTCGAAGTACTAGTAATGACTGTGCAAACTTGCAGAGCTCTATCTTAATTATTGTTTTCATCCATTTGACCTTCTAAATAAGGATCGATTATCACCAAAAGAGCAATGTTAATACATTGGCCAGATCTCCATCTCAGTGTAATAATTTTCTAATGTGCGGGTCATAATTATGACTTCTCGAAAAACAAAGTTTTTTTGTCCATGTCTTACCCTATATCAGCATAAAGCAATCCCCCGCACTCGTGTTCTTTTGCAAGAGTAAATATCTCCATACTCTCACTAAAATTCAATTGAAGCAACTGAAAAAACATTCACACACACACATAGACAAATGTATGAAAATGCAAATTTGTTAAACTGTACCCTGATCGTTCACAAAAACTATAGATTTCGTCTTTGGGCCGGACCGAACATACATGCAAAATGTTCGAACGCAAAATGCCAAAGCACCCAACCCAAGATGCAATAATTTTGTATTTTGGGTTTTTGAGGCTGACGATCTATGCAGAAAATTATCAGTTCCTAGTTTAAAGCTCCCGCCCAATTGTCGTTATTTGGAGGGTTATAGCCATATTTTCGACCGAAAAGGTGCTTTGGCATTTTTCCAAACAAAAAATTATCCCTATGGGTACATGCTTTCAAATATGTGGTTCCAAAATATTATATAAAGGTTCCGAAAGTTTCCTTATTTTGAGACTTTTAGCCGCGTTTTCAACCAATAGGGAAATAATTTTGTACCGCCTTAAAATACCAAAAATAGTATTTTGAGGCTTGTATCTACATTCTACAGATCGAACATGCTTAAATTTGTCATTTTGGGGTTCTGGAGGCTGATATTCATCTAAAAAGAAAACTACGCCTGCAGGTATATTGCCCCATATAAAGAACCTGCGCAATTTTCGGTACACTTCTTAGTAGAAAATTATCCTACAAAATATAAAAGTCCCGCTCAATTTTTTGGTATTTTGAGACTTGTAGGCGCAATTTTCAATAGAAAGGCCTATAATTTTGACATTCCGGGGTTTTGGAAGCTGATATACATTTAAGAAGAAAACTACCCTTATAGGTATCTAGCTCCGCAATTTTCAATTTTCCAATTGAAGAGGCTATAATTTGGCATTTCGGGTTCTGGGCGCTTATATTCTTTTAATGAAAAAATTGTCAATTAATGTGTATAACCCACATTTAAAGAGGCTCATGCCCGCATTCTCCAATCGAAGAGGCTTTCATTTGAAATTTACAGATTTTACCCTTATGGTAATTTAGGACATTTATCAGGCGTTTAATTCAAATTTCGTAAACTTATTGAATGTTTGATCCGGAATTAGAAAATATCGGTTCGTATCGTACCACATTATGGCAAATCTATATGAATTTGAAATGTAATGATTTTCCAAAAACTTTGTAAACTTGTGTTGTTGTAATATAAATATTATTATATTATTTATAAAAATTATATATATTTACAATATTAATAACTAATGGCTGAATTGGCAAGTTATGGTAACAGAATTAATTGATTATTTTTGTTTCATGAACATGTAAATGTGAACGAGTACGAATGTGGGTGTGTGTATGTGTTATTTGAATTACTGAGTATTTTGTGGTGATTCGTTTCATAAGCTATTACACTAGGCAACACTAAAAATTGCATCCGGGTGTCTCTAATTTGGCATTTGGGAATTTTGAAGGCCCCCTATAAAGATCCCGACCAATTTTCGATTTATTACGGTTTTAGGCAAAACGGGTTTAGGCATAAAGACTGTAACTTGGCACCTAAAGTTTCGTGGTATAGAAGATAATTCTCCTCAGAAAAATATCGGTATAGGAAACTAAAGTCTTTCCCCTATGGACAGATTCGGCTACTCGAATAAAGTTTTATTTTAAATTAAAATTCTGAACTAGTTTAAATAGCCGACCTTCATTGAAATTTTGAAGTCTCTATTTCGGGAAAAAGTGTACTTTTGTGTTCGGGATCTCACGTTTGAACTAACAATAACCGAATTTGATATTATCCGAATTTCTTCTTTTCCTATCTAAAACATTTTAATTAAATAAAAAATAAATAATTTAACATTTCCTTTTTTCTATATTTTCTGTTGCCTTGTGTAATTTTTATGAACATTTAATTTTATTGTCTTGACACGTATACAATTCTAACTTAAAACAATGGCATTTAGTTTTCATTGGTAACATACTTACATATATATACGACCTAATTAACAACTAATTTCTATAACCTAACAATATTTACAAAGAAATGGAATTATTAATTTACATGTGTGTATGTGTGTATTTGTTTTTACCACAGCCAAGAGGGGTGAGTAATATTCGAATATTTATTTCTTCATAATTTTTTTCCAAACTCACCTCACTCTTAAGTGTTGAATGGATAATGTAAAAAAAAACAGTGCATATGTGTGTGTGGAAAATTGTCATAATATGTATGTGTGTGTGTTTGTAAATATGTATGTAAATGTGTGTTAGTGTTTTCTTTTATATACTAACCTTAGTAATACTAAATCACTTTTAATGTTCTTCTTATTCAACATTTTCGTCTTCTCCTCCTACTCTTCGTCTTCGCCTTTTTCGTAGTCTCTACATTCGTATCTGTTCAACCATATTTTTATTTCTCTGCTGCGGTTGTGGCTGATGCCTCGCCGGCATATTGACCATATGATGTCCGCCCAGCGGTGATATGGATGGTGAACGTGTCGCCAGCGGTGATAATGAGGGTGAAAATGATGGTGACATCGCGGTCGATGTGGAGAAACCACCTGCCGTTTCATGATTGATGGGTGAACGTGGCAGCATATACTGCGGCGTGGAACCCAAGTGTGTGGTCGCTGTCCCCGTCATATGATGTGGATTATTACCCTGAGGTATACGCATATTAACTCCCGAACCGGATAGAACCTGCAGGTTAATGGCACGCGGTGCAACATTTGTTAGCATTGGTGGTGGTATCCGCGTCTTTACCACACTCGCTATAGAATGCGCCAGACTTTGTTTACTTTTATTGCTGGACGAGCCGCCACTTTGTCCACTATTCACCGAGACATTATCATCTTTGAGGCGGGCAATTTCGGAAAAGACATGAGCCAGGGGCTGGTACTGGGGTCCCCAGTCGAGCAAGTAATCCCAATTGTAACTGCCCTTCAGCTCTTCTTCACTGTGTACAATGGAACTCAGGGAGCCGGTCATTGAGGGTCCTACATTGGCCGCATTAACTCCGGGATGATTACTATAAGCCATAACATGATTGACATTGGGTGTCATATTGGCCGCTGCGGCTGCTTCGTCATTACTACTGGCCCGATCTGAGGCTGCCCCGTTGACATCATTCAATTTGGCATATATCAGGTTGGTTATATCCGCCTCGTTGTTGGGATCTTCGGCATACATGTGAAGGGAATCTACCATGGGTAGGGGATGGTGGAGGTGAGCCTCTTTATTCGACCCTGCCATACTGGTGCTGGATGCCACTCCGGTGGGATCATTGTCACGATCGACAATTCCCAATCTCGCCAAATATTCTTGAGTATTTTGCACGGAAATATCCGACAGCCGGCCATCTTCTCCTGCTGCACCTGCTCGTAGATTTCCCTCGTTGATCATACGTATTTCTTCATCCTCACCATCATCCTCGGCAGATCCACGTCCACTTGAACCTGACTGCTCGGATCCTGAGAGTTCGGAGGTTGTTGCTGCCCCGGAGTTAGAACTCCCCGCATGATTTCCATAGGGAGGGATTTCATCATATTTGGGCGGGGCAAATTGTGCCGAGGCCATGGCTCCCGATGTGCTGGGGTTGTTGTTACTGTTATTGATGGAATTCAAACCTGAGGCCCTTATGGGTATGGTATCAAAGGCACTAGGGTCCACATAACTATTGGAGTTCCCCACAGGTTCGGTATTCAAATGCGGTTTCACAACATTCCTTGGTTTACGACTGCGCATGCGTATGAATAGGAAAATACCCGCCGCAGCACAAATAACGAGCATCAGAGCAATAATCAGACCTATGACCCAATCGGCAATCCCACCACCAGAACCCGAAATTCCCCCTGCACTACTGGCCAAATTGGTGTTAATATCAGCCAATGGATCCAAAGAGATTTCCACCACGGTCATATTGGTCAACGAACCCTGACGTCCTGAACTTGCAGAGATCACCAAACTTATATCCCGACCATCATCAAAGTTGTCATCTAATTTCTTTTTGAGCACCACAGCTCCTGTTGTACGATTCACCTTGAAATAGGCATGCTGGGAGCTAAGTTGATATACCACTCGTCCATCTGGACCCTTGTCACGATCTGTGGCCGAAACTTGACCCACAACATAACCCAATGGAAGATAACCACTTGAGGGTGAGGGCATTACAAAACGATAGGTGCGTTCGGTGAACTGGGGAGCATATTCATCACGCGAATCAATTTGAATGCGAACTTTGACTTTCGAAGATTTACCACCCGTATCCATGGCCTTGAGTATAAAATCGAAACGGCTACGTTGTTCAAAATCAAATACAGAGTTGGTGGTAATTACCCCGGTTTCCGAATCCACACGAAATAGTTTCCAGGCCACATCGTCGGAACCCACTGCCTCATGTTCAATGGTATAGTTGAGCAGGCCATAACTACCTCGATCCAAATCGGTGGCATGGGCGCGAAATACACTCGTACCCACCGGTTCATTTTCCGCCACAAATTCAATAAATTCCGTAACCGGGAACATGGGTGTATTGTCATTTTCATCTTTGAGGGTGAGACGAAAGGCTCTCAGAGAGCACAGAGGCTGGGTCAGGGCACTATCACAGGCCCGTATTATTAATTCATAGCACATGGACCCCGTATCATAATCCAATTTGTTGTTTACGAATAGGACTCCCGTAACCAAGTCGATGGTAAACATACCCTCATCATTTCCCGACATTATTTCATAGACCACCTCCGAATTGGGTGTGTTGTCGGCATCCATGTCGATGGCCTGCAGCTGGGCAATAGAATAACGCAGCGGGGCCAATTCACTGACCTCCGCCTCATAGCGACTGGTATTCACAAATTGTGGTGGATTGTCATTGTAATCGTCAATCGATACGAAGACATTTATGGCCGAAGTAGAATTTTCCGCTGCCTGCGAGGCCAATTGTTGAGGTGATGCCGAGGGATCACTTATGACAAGGCGTAATTTATATAAATCCATTTGTTCACGATCCAGGGGTTTCACCAAAATTATGGCCTGGGATTGAAAGACTCGGAACTTACCCTCTTCGTTCCCAGAAACAATGGTGAACATTAAATTCGAATCACTTAAATCGGTGTTGGCATCGAGAATATCCTGACTGAGTTTGAGCACTACAGTGCCCAAGGGTGCCTGTTCATTGATGTGAGCCCGGTAGTGACTTTGCAGGAATTGAGCGCGGGCAGAATTATGGCCCTGGACTTGAACCCTGAGAGTGGTGGAAGATTTCAACGGCGGCTTGCCTTTATCCATGGCCACAATGTTCACAAATAAATCCTCCTGCAGACCCTCCATTTCCGGCCCTGCCAAACGACTTATGTTTACATATACCGCACCCGTCATTTCATTGACACTGAAACCCTTCACCACCGGTTCGATGCTGTAGACAATTTTGGCATTATCACTGTCCGGCGAATCCTCATCGGTGGCATTGACACGCAACAATTCGATGTCGGAGGTTAGCGAAGCTGCTCCCGCCGACACCTGTAAATCTGGCAACATGGCAAAATAGGCAGGCTCCTCAAAAACCGGAGCATTATCATTTTCATCTCCCACACGTACTGTCAGTGTGCAACGTGCCTCATGGGCCGCATCCGAGGCAATTATTTCCAATTGATATTCCTGCTGCTGTTCATAATCCAAGTGTCGTTTCAGGACAACTTTGCCGCTGTAACGATCTATGGCAAATATGGACTTAATGTCAGATGATAACAAATCGTCATCCATGGCAGGCTGCCGATGGTGATGGGAATGGTGATGATGGTGGCTGTGCTGCTGCTGTTGATCCGGCAATTCCATGCTAAAGCGATAGGTTAAGGCTGGATAGGTGTCCACATCATTGGCCGAGATGGTGGTAATCACAGATCCTAATTCAGTGCCTATTAAATAGAGAAAGGTAAACAAAAAAACACAAAGTCAGATAACAAAACGGGAGTAAGTTCTGCAGTGACTTCTTCGTCATCATCTATGACTTCTAGAAATCCCGTAGGATTAATTAAAAAAAGTTTGGAATTTAAAGCACTTCAGTATAAATTTAATAACTTGTCAAATGCTGGTGTTGTATTCTGGTGGCCTCTGGAGCACTGAGATGTGCCACTCACAAACCCAGGCAACACCAACAAATCAAAATTCCTTAAGCAGGAGAATGCCATAAGAAAGCAGGCAACCAGCAGCCAAACAAGAACAACACTCATCATCCGAATGGAATAGGAAAAACTCATACAGAACTAGTTTTTCTAGATCAGTTTTCCAGCAACAACAAGAACATCATGCGGATGGTTGGCTGGCTGACTGCCTAACTTCGTTGGCTTGCTTTGTTCTACAACATCATCTCAATGCAACTCTTCTCCTCCTCTCATTCCCACTTACCTTCTCCAACATTGATCACACTGTGCGGTGGAAATGTCGGCTGATTATCATTCACATCTACAATATGGACACGTATTGTTGCTGTGCCTGTCATCTGTGGCACCCCCTCATCAGTGGCGATCACTTTTAGCTTGTACATGTCACGAATTTCACGATCCAACACTATGTTCGTTTTAACAATGCCGCTAAAGGCTGGCTCAATGACAAATGCATTATCATGATTGCCATCGACGATGTGATAGAGTATGCGTGAATTCGGCCCGGTGTCCTGATCGAACGCGCTAACCTGCACCACAAATGTACCCTTGTTGTTGCCCTCCCACACAGTGGCGGCATACTGTGACTGTGTAAACACCGGACTATTATCGTTGACATCCTCCAGTTCCACAATCAATTCGGCGTAGGCATACAATGGTGCAGCACCGCTGTGCGATTCACTTTGGGCCACCAACATCAGACGCAACTGATGCGGTTGTATGGCGGAGGCCAGCAGCACAGGCAGATCATCCATTTCACGTCGACGCAGGGCACGATTATTGCGAAAGTTGGCGGACAAATCTCCATCAGCATCTTCGGTTTCCATGAATAAAAAACTTGTACCATTCTCACCGCCCTCTTCATAGGTCAGGGAACGGCCACGATAATTTTGAAAATATTTTTGATTGCTTTGCACCTGTTCCTCCATGGTGCCGGCATAACGTTCATAATCAAGTTCGGCACTGTTGGCAACTCTAATCTCACCCGTCGAGGGGTCAATGCTAAATGCCTGATTTTCATTACCCGTACCGAAGGAATACAATAACTTCGCTCTCCTCCCATCTGATCGCAGAGCCGTCACCTGCAACACTTTCATGCCCTCCTCGGAATTCTCTTTCAACTTAACACGATAGGTGTCGTTTTGAAAACGCAGTGTACTGGAACCTTGCGGCAATTCTCCAATTAGCAATTCAATTAAACCCTCCGTTTGCAGTGATGGCTGACCCTTATCATGGGCCACAACTTCCAAATGCAGCAGGCGACCCGATTCACTTGCCAAACTTTGGGTAGCACTCACCACACCCGTATTGGGATTTATACGAAATTTCCCCCTTGTCGAGGGGTCATCTTGTTCTTTAAGGGAATAAATAACTTCACCATTTAATCCCAAATCTTTATCGGAAGCCATAACTTGAACGAGTGTTTGACCTGGTTGGATCAGAGCTGGAACTTGGGCACGAAAGGGATAACGTTCGAAGACAGGTTTATTATCATTGACATCATCGATGGAGATTTGAACGGGAACACGTGCCGATCGGGAATCATAGCGACCGCCATCTGTTGCCACGACCATGAAATTGTAGACATGTTGTCGCTCACGGTCCAGGGGGCTGGAAGGGAAGAAGAAGAAATGAAGAAATGTTTATATATATGCAAATATTATAAAATGCGTACAATATTTATAAAACCAGGAATGAAAGTAGTAAAGTCGGACGACTATATGATACCCTTCACCACTTTGGGCATATTCAATAGATGAATCGTAACATTTGTCGCATTTTTGAAGGACCATTAATATGAAAATGGATCCATAAACATGTCATTCTGCAACCTATATTTCTTCTTCTTCTTCTTACAATGGGACAAAATTATGTAAATTGCAGTATGTTTTGTGCACATTTTGAGTTCTTTGTACATCATGTACATTAAATCGGGAGAAAATATATATAGGAGCTCTATCCAAATCTGAACCGATTTCAAAACTTTCCAAACTCTTGGTTATATTAACTTCAGTTTTCTGTACTTAATTCCTTACGCTATGCCAAATTTCGTGCAAATCGAAAGGTATATAGGGACTTGGGTACATCATTTACATCATTACATTCGAACGAAAATATATATGGGAACTATATCAAAATCTGGACCGATTTTCAGGAAACTTAACACACATCATTCTAGACTTTATTAAGTGAACTATGCCAAATTTCGTGCAAATCGAAAGATATATAGGGACTTTAGTGCACCAATTACATAAAATCGGACGAAAATATATATGGGAGCTATATCTAAATCTGAACCGATTTTCATGATATTTAACACACATCTTTCTAGACTCAGTTCAATGCGCTGTGCCAAATTTCGTGCACATCGAAAGATATATAGGGACTCTAGTGCACCAGTTACCTAAAATCGGACGAAAATATATATGGGAGCTATATCTAAATCGGAACCGATTTTCTCGAAACTTAACACACTTCATTCTAGACTATGTTCAGTACGCTATACCAAATTTCGTGCAAATCGAAAGATATTTATGGACGTTGGTGCCCCTTTTACCTTAAATCGGACTAAACTATATATGGGAGCTATATCTAAATCTGAACCGATTTTCTCGAAACTTGGCACACATCATTCTGGACCTAATTCAGTACTCTGTGCCAAATTTCATGCAAATCAAAAGATATAGAGGGACATTTGTGCCCCATTTACCTTAAAACGGACGAAACTATATATGGGAGCTATATCTAAATCTGAACCGATTTTTCTCAATTTCAATAGGGTTCGTCATTGGGCCAAATAAGTGACTTGTGCCATATTTCATCTAAATCGGATTATAAATGCGACCTGGACTTTGTTTACAATTTAACATCTAGAGACGGACGGACGGACATGCATAAATCGACTCAGAAAGTGATTGTATGCATATTCTCAAAAGGAACCATGTGTCTATCTCGTTTCCTTTTGCCTGTTACAAACATATGCACAAAGACATAACACCCTGTACCACAGTGTGGCGAAGGGTATAAAAAACACAAAAAAATGAGTTTTCGGTCCTCTTCATTCCAAAATTATTATCGGATCATCACCGAAAGTTATATGCGTTGTCCTTGACCATAAGTGTAATCTCATGGAAAATTTCAAAGCGATCAGCGCTATATTATCGACCTCTAGTGTGGTAATGGGTTACTAAATAACATCTCAGTACGTAAGCACCTGTAAATATTTACGTGTAACTCCCACATGCGATTACATACGAAAATATAATCGGTATCAATTTAAAGGCCAACCACTCCTCTTGAATATACAATCAATTTCTCGGGTCTATGTCCGTCAGGAATATATGCGCCGTAAAATACAATTTTTATAATTTTTCACACAAAAGTATGGGTCCATTTGACCCGCTAAATATTGACCGATCTTTATCAAAACAGGCATGCTTATTCTTTGGCGCGACCTCCTTCTCAATGCAAAAATTCGATGTTTGGGCCATAATTGCAGGCTCTGGAATGACCAGAAAAATCGATTATTCTATGGCATATATATTTACTCCTGGAGGATGTAGACCCCAGGAGTTGATAGCATATCCAAGAGGAGTGGTTGGCCTTTAAATTGATACCAAATGTGTGATGTATCTACTCAGATGTGGGAGTTACAGTCAAATATTTACAGGTGCTTACGTACTCAGATATTATTTAGTAACCCATTACCACATTAGAGGGAGAAATATCGCGCTGATGGCTTTGAAATTTTTCATAAAGTTCCAGTTATGGTCAAGAACAACGCCTACAATTTTCGGTGATGATCAGATTAAAATTTTGGGATGAAATGGACCGAAAACATAATTTTTTGGGTGTTTTCGAGTAGAGTATAATGCGAAAATCTCAACACAACCTACCGTGAAGGTAATCTGGACAAGTAAATAGAAGGATTGTACTGAATATTCGAAAAAAGTAAGGAAGAGGTGTTGTTAACCTCTAATCGGACAAGAGGGGGCAAATATCACGAAATATTACTCAGACTCGGAATAAACATCCTCAGAAAGTTAGAGTTCGTGGTAGTTGTGTAGGGTATCGCATGGTCGGCCCCGTCCGACTATACTGCTCCGCTCACTGGTTTTTTAATTTGGTTTTTGGTCAAAAATCGGCGATTTTCCAAAAATATTTTTTCAAAGGTCCACCATTTTGTTAATTTTAGAGCGAAGTCAATAATCCTAGTTCATACGAGAGCCAGACATGTACTCTTTCTAACACCGTTGGAATTTTCGGATTCCGATGTTCCAGTGAGGAGTTATCATGCCCGCCATCAAAAATAAGGACTTTTCTTTAATTACAAAAAACAACAACAAAACAATAACAAAAATTTTTTGTAAATTATTTTTCTTCTTTTTTAAATCTTCAATTATATATGTGCAAAGTTACAAACCTTAACAAGCATTGGTATTGATTTACCAGCCCATTGAAAATCTTAAAAAATTCAAATCGAGAATGGGGGGGGGGGGGGGTTTCCCTTAACCGATATTTACCAAAATCAATAGGGGTCTTCATTAGCCAGAACCCAACCTACTTACAAAATTTCGAAGATTGGGCCATAACTGTGGCCTGTATCGTGTTACAAATTAAAGCACAGACGGACGGACACACATGCCTAGATTGACTCAGCTAGTCGAGATATGACGATCGACGTTGGGTCTAGGCCCAATATTTCGCGGCGTTACAAACTCTTGGGGCTGCACAAAGCTATAATACCCTGACAAGTTAGTTGTTTAGGGTATACAATTTTTGATTCAGAGGTCCATATCTCGGGAATAATGGATTTCCTCCATGAAAGTCATATATTTTCGGGATCAGGGAGACGAGCACTACGTGTGGCAAAAATTTCAGAAAAATTCGAAATCCGCGATGAGCCCTTAAACTCAACTTGTTCCAAATACACACTTCGCATGGTGTTTGAAGAAATATGTATTAGTCTTAAAAAGATATTTTTAAATCGTAGACTCCATAGGTGCTTGAAAAAATATTTCGTTGGTACGGAAAAAATACTTCCAAGCTTGCATTGATGCTTGAATAAAAAAACCGATCCCTTTCCATCAGAGATTACACTTTTACCTCCTCACATTTTCCCAGCGGTTTATTTTTTTTCTCCTTTTTTGTGATCTGGTCCCTCACTTCCCCACCACCCTGACGAACAGAAAAACCAATTAAGAGCTAAAAATCCAACTATTGTTCAAGATTAACAAAATATGTTAAGGCTAATGAGTTTTTTATGATCATCATTGATCATCGCTGCAATGATAATGTAGAACTCCCAAACAATCTTCTTGTTCTTGTTTCTGCCAGGGCACAAAATTCAACAATCTTAACTTTTCCTAATTTAAATCTAAGTGTTCTCCTTTTTTTGGTGTACTCCAATTCAGGAGGGAAACTCTAAGGTCTTTTGCAAAAGTTCTTTATAATTTTAACGAGATTTTTTTTAGTTTTGGTTTTTTGCTCCTGCTGAACAAAACAAACAAATGTTTTGTGTGATGTCTGTTGTAGTTGTTGTTGTTAGGAGATGTTATTGCTGCTGCCGTTGCTGTTGTTGCATTTGATGTGCCTGTTTCGCTAGGATTCCCTATCTCTCGCCTGTGTTAACTGCGTTTCATTGTTATGTTGGGGGTATTGGTTGGGCCCTGGAATGATGATGTGGTTCGGTGTTTGTTGCCGCTGTCGCTGCAGCTATTGGTGGTGTTGAATGTGCTCTTGTTATTTTCGACATCGACAACAACATCACGAAATGTTTGTTATTCGTCAGTTTACTTGAAATGATTGTATTTAAAGTGATTTAATCATTGTTGGCGAACAACATCGACAATAACAACCCGAACCAAAAACCAACAGCAACAACCAACGTCGCACCAAACCACCAACACACCGAACTAAACAAACAGTCTATTTTGTTTGTTTGTATTTTTTTCTCCCAAATGATGTGAAATTAGAATTAGAAGTGAAAAGTATTTTTTCCAACCTCTCAGCGAGTGGTGGGGAGGCTGAGGGAGTAAGAAATGATTTGAAAAGTGTGGGTGTTTGTTGTTGCTTGTGTTGATGTTGTTTGACATTGACATTTTTTCTAACGGAAAATAGAACTTCAATTTACATGCCACATAAATTGGTTTGGTGTTTTGTTTGATAGTCGTCGTGTAATGGGAGGTGTGGAATGTTGCTTACATTATCTTTAAACTAAACATCGCGGTAGAGATATCAGCGAAAAAACTAGAACAAACAATGAAAATAATTTGACAAGTAAAAGAATGGCAAAAGGTAGAATAATTATGTGAGTTGAAGTTTGGAAGGTTATATATGTATGTAACATTGTTTTTTAAGGTCCCTCAAATCGGATTTTTATTAATATTTTTTTTCAAGGATCAAACAAAATTTTTGGAAGAATATTTTTTCAAGGCTCACCTAAGGCGTGGATTTTTTAAAGAATATTTTTTCAAGGCTCACCTAAGGCGTGGATTTTTTAAAGAATATTTTTTCAAGGCTTATCTAAGGCGTGGATGTTTTAAGAATATTTTTTCAAGGCTTATCTATGGCGTGGATTTTTTAAAGAATATTTTTTCAAGGCTTATCTA